CATGGACAAGGCCTTTATAGAGCATGTCTTCACCAATAATATAAGTTTGTCCATCTCAAGCCTTCAAACTTTGTTGTATATATTTGGTTAGGCATGACTGCAACAACTGTTTATTTTCGGTGTTTGCATCAAATTGCATGTTTAAAATTTATTATGTAGTTCATAAACAAAAGTTTGTCCTTTCTCAATTTAAGTTTTCAGTTGTACAACCAAGTTCCTTCTTCATACCATGTAAATTAAACTATATAGAGCAAGTGATCTTCTTTTGCACTGCATGTATGCTTCTGTTCTTTATCCGTAATCCAGTGGTGTGGTGAACCTACCCACTACAGCACAATGTCATATTCTGCAATGTCTTAACTATGAACAATGTCATATCATTCTACTACTCCCTCCGTCCAAAAATACTTGTCATTGAAATGGATGTATCTAGATGTATTTTAGTTCTAGACACATCCATTTTGATGACAAGTAATTCCGGATGGAGGGAGTATTATTTAAACCGTCTCTTTATTTGGCAATCTGAAATGGGATAAATTGACAACACACTAACCATTGATACTTATGAGTTCTTGATCTGTAAACCAGTGGTGTCGTGAAGCTGCCAACTCCTTCACAATGTCATTTCCTGCCATGTCTTGACCTGAACAATACCATATTGTGTTAATGCAATTTTAAACTGTGTCACTTTATTCGTCAGTAAGAAATATGATGAATTATCAGCACTGATACTTTTATGTGCAAAACCTGTCATCTGTCTGCTTGTTTATCTTTCAGAGTGAGGAAGATTTAAGTGTTGAACAAGCGCAGTCTCATCATCTTGCTCAGCTGCTTGTGCTGCAGCTCCCCAGCAGGGCTAACCTTTCTTGAACTCTATTGAAGTGATGTCGGTTTGTATATTATTTTGTCGGCGTGTTTATTTGCACTGGTGGCGATCTTTGATGCCCAGTGTATGTAATCTGTTGTCTGCTTGTGCTTTATTATCATAGTGGCGAACTTTGATGCCCAGTGGATGTAATATGCTGTAATTTCTTTATTGTATAGTCTAGGTTTTTTTTATTCACGATGATGCAGTTATTTTACTGTATATATATCCTGTCTTCGCAGTAAACCGGCCAAACCGTAAAATTACGGTACATAATCGGGCCGTCATGCAATTACGATGTAGGTTGGGCCTGAAACGTGTCGAACAGCTAACGGGCCGGCAGCAGCCCGAAATGAACCCTGGCCCATGATTGTGCGAATCAAATCACAGGCTTTTAACAGGCCAAAATTGTCTCGGTCCTTGTTTGGCCCAATCAGATATCGGCTGCGAGCAGGCCGGATGCAAACCGGGTCGTAGTTAGGCCCAACTATATGACGGGCATTTAACAGGCCGAAATTAATATAGGGCCAAAATGTTAAACGGGCCCTTAAGAGGCCAAAACTAATATCAGGTCGAATTACCAAGTGGGCCTTTAGCAAATGGGCCCAAAAGCATAGTGTCCAGTTGACGGGCCGAATCTGATATGGGCCATAATTGAGCCCATAGCTCTTAAAGGGCCGGACCTGATCTGGGCCGTAATTTGTCCCAGAACGTGGTAGGCTTTTAATGGGCTGGATCTCATATGGGCCACTATTAGGCCCGGAATGTGGCAGGCCATTAATGGACCGGATCAAATATGGGCCGGCATTTGGCCCAAAACATGGCAACCAGTTAATGGGCTAGCCTACTAGGGTCCTCAAAATCTTGTGGGCCTACAGCTGGGCCGGCCCATTAATGTCGGCGAAATCTCGTGGGCCTTTAGCCGGGCCGGCCCATTATGATCCGCAAGAATCTTGTGGGCCTTTACCTGGGCCAGCCCATTATGGCACACAAAAATCATGTCGGCCTTTACCTGGGCCGACCCATTATGGCCCGCAAAATCTTGTGGGCCTTTAGCTGGGCCAGCCCATTATGGTCCGCAAAATCTCGTGGGCCTTTAGCTGGGTCGACCCATTATGGTCCGCAAAATCTTGTGGGCCTTTAGTTGGGCCGGCCCATTTAAACTTGATGGGCCGGTCCATGTGTCAACATATCATAGGCGCGTCTCGCCCATTGGATGAGTGACACATGTGCCAGCGCGGACCTGACACGTGTCTCCTCCAGCCAATGATGATTTTACACGTGGGAAATCCCCATTGGTCGGGGCTGTTAACAGGTTATCGGATCCAAAACCCGACCCGATAGCTTAACGGCGTTTCGTTACGGTGGATGCCACGTGTCGGTCACCCTTGACGAAAGCACTTCTGTGACGCGCGATTTATCGTCATGGAAGTGGACACTTCCGTGATGATAATTTTGGTAATGTCATGGAACACTTCTACGACAGCACAAGTATGACTATCTTGATTCTGTCATAAATTTGTCATGGATGTACATGCATGACAAAAAACGCGACCTACTGTGACAATCACGTATCATCACGGAAGTGTATTTTTTTTGTAGTGCTAGGATTAAACCCAGGCTAGCACGGGCTCGTCAACGCCACCGTGGGCGTGGCCAGCACTATCTCATCGACACTTCCTCGGATGGTACTGCCAGAGTCGCCTCGCGCGTCGGCGACTCAGCCGATCCCCGGCTTCCACGTCTACCCGCAAGCCTCCCGACTCTCCGGGGAATGCTCGCCGGAGGTGAGCGTGGTGGCGCCTTCCACGCCCGCACCCGCACCCATCGACCTCAACGCCACACCGGCAGCCGGTGGCTCGTCATCTGATGGGGGGAGGAAACGCGCGCGAGAGATGCCAGCCGACATGCTCCTCGGCGCCCGCAACCTGTTCAACGGAATGCCGGCAGCCGACGACGATGACATGGCCAACTGTTTCATGTAGAACATCATCTTGGAGGGTGGTGCGGTGGCGGTTGCTGGCGGTGCCGCCGCGGCTGCCTACGATCCCGATGAGACACAAAGCTAGGAAGGCCGACAGAGGTTCACGCCGTCGACCTTTGATCAAGCTGGCATGGATGCCGCCTTCATGCAAGATCAGGTCGGCCGGGACCTGGACGGCTTCCCGCTCGACCACGAGTTTCCGGAGGACTACAACCCCTAGGAAGAGGATGAGTTGGACATCGACGGGGAGTCTTTGTTCGAGGACGAGCTCGCCAACCAAACCATCGGGGCGAAGCCGAAGCGCAAGAGCAGGCGGACGAAGGCATACACTGCGGCCGAGTACAAGCTCCTTTGTGAGTGTTGGAGGGACATTGGGCAAGACCCCAAGGTCGGTGCCAAACTAAAGGCATCAACCTTTTGGACTCGTGTGCTTCACGAGTTCCATGAACGCGAGAAGTTTCTGTCATACCAAATGCAAAGCACGCGCGGGTGGGTGTCCATTTCAAAGCAGTGGAAGGTGATCCAACAAGAGTGCAACAAGTTTTGTGCCACTTTTGAGAGCATCAAGTCACGTCCCGTGAGCGGCATCGACATGCAAGACATGGTATGCATGCAAGCGCCCTCTTTTTGTGTCATTCGTTTGTGCTTGCATGTCCATTTCCATATCTGTTTGCCAATATGCTTGCATGCAATTCATTTGTAGGCATTCCAAGCTTTGGAGGCCTTTAAAGTCCAACACGATGGCAAGTCTTCAACCTCTCCCATTGTTGGAGGGTCGTCAAAGACGAGGAGAAGTTCAAGGCGCAATATGTCGCCCTCATGACGCGTGGGGGGGGGGAGAAAGCCGTGGGGGTGGTTGGGGAGGGCGAGAAGGCACAGCCGCAAGGGAATACGAACTCCAAGAAGGAGGACAAGCGGGATGCGGCATCGATCGCCCTGATCGCAACCGTGGAGGGCATGATGACCAAGAAGGACTCAAGGAAGGAAAAGTGTCGGCAAGACAAGAAAGAGCAGATGAACACCTTCATGGAGATCCAAAGGAGGAGGCTTGAGATGGAGGTGGAGAAGCAAATGAGGACGCTTGAGATGGAGGCGGACAAGCAAGCCAAGATGCTAGAGATCGAGGCCGCCAATGTCAAGACCAAGGTGAAAGAAGTGGTTCACGCTAGCATGATGATGGGGGTGGAGATTATGAAGGTGGATCTCAACACGGTGTCGTCAAGGAAGAGGTCATGGTTCGAGAAGATGCAGGCCGACATGCTCAAGTTCGACGGCGAGTGATCTATGATGGCGAGTGCTATCGTTTTTCGTATGCCGACAAGTGTGATGGCATGACCACGGCCGCGATGGCGCGATCAAACTCCCGCCCTCTTTTTGTGTGCTGGCATGTGTGTCGGCCGCTGGCAAGTGCGCCAGCATGAACTGTGTGGTGTTTTTTGAAGTTGACATTGTATGTTGGCTGCTGGCATGGTGCCGGCATGAACTTTGGGCGACGGGATGGCCGCTGGCATGATCTATGGCCGCAAGCCTTTTTCAAATTTGTGCATGGATATGAAATGAGTCGCGGGTGTTGGACACATTGCCGACCCAAATCTTAAACAGGACGGACGCCGAGTGGACGGCCGATCCAAACGGACAAAAACATCGTCCATTTGGATCGATGCGTTAGAGTTGCTCTTATATAAAGAAACAGAAAAAGTATATATTTGCCTTCGAGTATCAATAATACATCCACCTCATTAGCCAATCCTTCTCTATTCCTTCTACGGAGGGGCTTGACGGTTGGCGCGTATGCTTTTGTTCGCTGGGTTGGACACCCAGTGCGAACGATCGTTCGATTTAAAAGCCCAGGGAGCCGACGTTCCCACAATATTCGCGTCCAAACTGAAAAACACTGGAAAAGACAATTTTAGAGGAGTGGGCATTCCGGTAATTTGACGTATCTCTCTCCTCGGTGGCCAGCAGCTGTTTCCTTGCATACATATACCCCACGATTCGCTGCCAGAAAGAACTAGTAACTGAGACTCCCTGCGCTCTCATCTGCTCTCCTCTGTCCTGCTCTGCCATCTCTCCGACTCTGCCGCATGCCAGCTCCTCCCCCGGCCATTACCGCGCCAAAAAACCTCACCCCGCGCCGCCATTTCCGCGACCATGCTATCGCGGTTCAATAATTCGCTCTGGATGCAGGAAGACGACGGCCATGAGCAACAGGGCCTCGGCCACGAGCAGCCGGCGGCAATGGGGATGATGCCGATGATGGGGCAGGAGGCTGGGCACCACCACGACCAGCACCTCCTGGCTATGCCCACGCGGGGAGACGGTGGGTTCCGCGCCCCGTCGATGCTTGATGAGGACTGGTACTTTGGCGCGGGCGCGGTTGGCGACGGCGCCGCGAACGGGTCCATGGCCCTGGTGCCAGCCGCCATGGAAGCATCGGGGTCCAGCTCCGGCTTCGGAGCCGGTCCACAGATATTCCCGCTCCTCAACCTGGGCGGTAGCGGACCGTTCGACGTCTCTGGGTTCGACCTCGGCGGCTCCGGCGCTGGAGGCGGCGATTTCACGGCGTTCCTTGGCGCCGGCAACGCGTCGAACACATCGCCGGTTTCCCTGCTGCCGCATGGGAACGCGGGGTTTCTCGGCTCCTTCGGCGGCTTTGGCACCGCACCGGCACAGATGACAGAGTTTGGTGGCCTCGCCGGTTTCGACTTGTTCGACACCGGTGCCGGGGGCGGAGGCGGGGGCGGGAGCGGCTCCTCCTCAGAGGGGCCGGCTGCTCCAGTTTCCTTGACCGCTCCTTTCTCCGGTCGTGGCAAGGCGGCGGTGCTGCGGCCGCTGGAGATCTTCCCGCCTGTGGGGGCGCAGCCAACGCTCTTCCAGAAGCGCGCACTACGGCGTAATGCCGGCGAAGAGGATGACGACAAGAAGCGTAAGGCGGCGGCGGCGGCGGAAGGAAGCGCCCTGTCCGCGGTCTGTGACACCATGCTCGACGACGCCGACGAGGACATGGGCAGCATTGACGCGTCCGGGCTGAATTACGACTCGGAGGACGGGAGGGGCGTGGAGGAGAGCGGCAGGAAGGACGGCAAGGAGTCGAACGCCAACAGCACGGTGACCGGCGGCGCTGCGGCTGAAGGGAAGGGGAAGAAGAAGGGAATGCCAGCCAAGAACCTCATGGCGGAGCGCCGTCGTCGGAAGAAGCTCAATGACCGGCTCTACATGCTCAGGTCCGTCGTGCCGAAGATCAGCAAGGTGAGAAATTATTTGTGTGCACCACCTCAGCGCCTTCTCAGAGTTTCGCAAAGTACACAAGGAAATACTAGTTGCTGCTTGTGTTTTGGTTGAGTAGGTTTAGGCAATTTTGCTAAATCATTTAATCTTGACGAATTTTGTGCACTTTGGTTGTCTACAGGACCAGATCTTCAATTTAATTTCAGCAAATGTTACCTTAGATGTTATTTTGCGTGGATGGTTCTCCCTATTTGGTGTGACGATAATTCTTTTTTTTTTAGGATGACTATCATGGAGTAACTTTAGTTTAGATTGCCTGACGAATTAGATTAGAGTAACTTTAGTTTTTTACTGCAGATAAATTATTTTCCATCTTATTGCCAGTCTCTTTCTCTGCTGCCTCATGTTCAGTTTTCACTCAATTATCGTAGAGTTATAGAGAGAAAGATCATAAAAACAGTTACACAATAAAAATCGGTCAGTTATTGCGCATTTTAGGTGCAAGTTTTTGTGTAGAGTTGTGGATGCACACCAGTTTCAAGAATGTGTCATAGAAATTTAAGCCTTGTTGGCTACACACTCCTTGGTCTGTCTAGCTTTGTGATTTACTCCAGTATCCGCAGTCCCAGCTTTTCTGTTTAGCTCTACTGATGATTATCTCTATTGGCATGGCCATAATCTTGCCTTACTTAGATAGGCTACTGAATTTATATTCCTAGGACTAAACAACTAGCGTAATTTCATTCCTAGCTATTGCTTGTTATACGGATTAAATGCGGCTGCTGTCCATGAGTTGTGCAACCGACAAATTCTGTCAAATATACTATAGCTATCTGTTACTCCCTCCGTCCGAAAATACTTGTCCTACAAATGAATAAAATGAATGTATCTAAAACTAAAATAAGTCTAGATACATCCATTTCTAGGACAAGTATTTCCAGACGGAGGGAGTACTACTGTATATTATTCAGGTTGTAGACATATTGCAAAAAAACAAAGTTTTAAATCATGATTGTTGCACGGCCATAAAAATGCAACTGCAGATACGGGAGGCTACTGTACATCGTGGAACTGTTCAAAAGACGTCAATTACAATAACTAATATAAGAATTATCCCCTATACTCCTACTGGTATATGTTTGTTTAGAAAATTAGAATATTTCAGTTTCACAACGTAAAAAAGAAATGCCCGGGTTTTGGAGCTGAAAGAGCATGAATGATTTGTTATGGTTCTTTTTCTGAACAGAGTTCACCTTGAGCATGAGTGGTAATTCTTGTCTGCATAGTCTAGTGAACTGATGTATGTGGTTGCAATGGGCAGATGGACAGGGCTTCTATTCTCGGCGACGCGATCGAGTACCTCAAGGAGCTCCTGCACAAGATCAGTGATCTTCAGAATGAGCTTGAGTCGTCTCCTTCCATGCCCTCGCTGCCTCCGACGCCCACAAGCTTCCACCCTCTGACTCCGACGTTGCCCGCGCTGCCATCCCGCGTGAAGGAGGAGCTTTGCCCGAGTGCGCTGCCAAGCCCTACCGGCCAGCAGCCAACCGTGAGTATCTATCTCTTGAGACCTCTGAATTTCACTCAGGAAATTCAGACCTTGACATGACATGGTATCCTTTTTTGTCCCCTTGGCTTGCAAAAGGTTGAGGTTAGGCTCCGGGAAGGCCGGGCCGTCAACATCCACATGCTGTGCCCTCGCAGGCCCGGGCTTGTGCTCTCTGCCATGAAGGCGATCGAAGCCCTTGGTCTTGATGTGCAGCAGGCCGTTATCAGCTGCTTCAATGGCTTTGCCTTGGACGTCTTCAAGGCTGAGGTATGGCATTGTAGTCCATGTCTGTCGTCACCTTTCCAGAAACAGTGAAGAGAAAACTCGACTTATCTTGCTCACTCGGTTCCTTCTTCTTCTTGGCATCAGCAATGCAAGGATGGCCCTGGTCTTCAGCCCGAGGAGATCAAGGCGGTTCTCTTGCAATCCGCGGGGTTCCATCCCGCGATGTAGGAGGGAGGGAGGGGCAGCCAACCAAGTGCAGGATAGTGCTGTATCTAAGGAATTTCTTTTTACAACAAGTAGCGGTGTTTTCCGAGAGAAGCTACCTCACCTTGAGTAGTCTGAGACCTTCCCAGAACCAATTTATCTGCGAGTCTTTTAGAGTCCAAAATAATGTCGGCAATCTGTTATTAGTACGAGTACCTAACATTGCTTATGCCTGATGTTACCTTATTTTTCAATACATCGTGTGTAAGTCTGAACGAGACTTGTGTTTGGTCATTGAAGCGTAAAACATTGTTAGATCATGTCTCTTTTCGGTTCCTTGCGCGATGTTTTTCTGGCGTCTGTGTGGTTGTTGTGGCTTGGATTTGGTTTGCAAAATCCAAACGGTGCTGTGCAGGTCAGTTATTGGAAGCACAGAGAGCAAGCAGGCAAAAGTGGTCCTTGTGCTGGACCCAACGACAACGGTCTTCACTGCAGCCTGGCACTAGCAGGGCTTGATTTGGCTGGTTTCCAATCAAAGCTTGCTACTCCGGTAAGAAAAGAGGACCAACAGCCGGTATCTCGCTGTAAACAGTACTACGGGGATCCGCGCCAATTAATTTCTGAGGCATGGCAAAGACTGCGAATACAGGACGTGAAATGCACTGTTGGTGTCACTGCTGCAGAGCTGCTCTGCTGGACCACGGAAGCCGATCTACTGCCTCACCTTGACCTTCTGTGTAACTCAACCGAAAATAAACTCGTTACTCGACGATTCCAATGTCACTCGTTACTTGTTCCTTGTCACGCTGGCCTGGCTCCAACGAAGATGACCAAGTGCCGATCCAACACTACTCAAGACTAGAACCTTCCAAAAGAGGACCCGCCTATAAATTACTTCAGCTCACACTAAAAATTATGGACATAAATAAAAGTTACCTATAGAAACTGCTCTCTTCATGTTCCAAAACGCCAAAAAGTCCCCCATGCCCGTCGATGCGGCATGAGCAGATATTGAGCACCCGTGGCAGTCTCGCATTTCTCCGGATCCGTAGCACAAAATAGTAAAAGGGAAACAAAATAGCGTTAGACACAGACCTATACATAGCAAAACTCTTTCGGCAAACCCTCTATCTAGATGAAACAAGAATACAAGGGGAAAACATCTCTCTGCTTACGACCACAACTGGCTACAAACAAACATGCACCTGGAACAGGAAGAAAATTGCTGACTATACACAACATGTCGTACAGAACAGAGAGAGCTACATATTGAGCTACAAAACTATCGGCCCAGTGATGGTTGAGACGAGCCAAAAGGAGAATCAATTTTGACTCTATTCTATTTGGAGAAACCTAGTAGAGCTCCTACATAAAATGTCGGATACGTCAAAACTTCAGTACATTCCTTTGAAAACGGTGCTTGTTCGGCAGATGCTTGCTCCATGCTCCTCGTAATCTTCCTTTGTGTGGCAACACTGAATGAGAACAGAAAAAATAATCACTTAATTCCATGTATATCTGTCTATTCATGTGGACAGAAATATGACTGAAATTCATAGCTCAATTACAAATGGCAATGTCTGGAGTGGCGTGGACTGAAAGACTTGCAATTGTAACTTGGCCTTTCATCGACATATAACAGTTAATATTGCAGAGGTACGCAATTCTATAAAGCTAAGGTACGCAATTTGCGTACTCTCGAAAAAAATAAAATATTGCAGAAATATATGCACTAATATTCACTTCTGCATGTGAAATGAAGTGTCAAGTGGCAGGTACCTCGAAGAATTCATGGCTGGATGCAGCTACAGAACCCCCGAACCAAACTGCGTAGCTCTGTATAGGATGGGTGACTACGTTGACCTCAACAGGCTGGCATCAAAATAATAGACAAACAAAACATATAGAATCAATCACATATAGACTATTGATTACAACAGGCTGACATTCAAACATGAACATATGGAGGACAATTCAACTAGTTATGGAATGAGCTCAGTCAAGCATTGTTGTACTTACTTTCACCTCCACATGATGATGTGCATTAGTTTCGGCAACACGTTCGTCTACTATCTTCTTTATATTATTTTGGAGTCTCTTGTGGAAGTCTTTAAACATGGTAGTTCCACCAGATAATACTATGTTCTGCAAATTGTGGAATTTCATAGTGTCACATCAACATGTCACTTTATATTCTTAGATGTGTTTGCAGAGATCAAAGAAAGCACCTTATACAAAGCTCTCCTTGTGTCAATTGGCGCAGATTGAACACAGCTGTCAATCAGTTCAGGTAAAGGAGTGGAGAAGTCAGCAGAGTACATCTCAGGATGGAAGAAGATCTGCATTTTGTTATTAAAAAGTTACACTGGTTCCAACTACTACTTGTGTCAAGTGCAAGAGCAAGGACACTTGTAAACTGTTGCCTCTTTATTCTAATAAAAATGTGTAACAACCTACACAATTAAGTTCAGCTAAAAACAAACATAAAATTATTAGGATTTCCTTTAGAGCCTCTCGATATATTTCATAACCCGCATAGACTAATGATAAACCATTGCCCTAGAAAAATCCTGAGCTACTTATATTATTTACGTATTTATGAATAAAGAAAATCATGATCCAAATTCCCATATATTGGTCAACCTGTCTGTCAGTCCGATGATACTTCTATAAGTATGTAATAAGGCATTGAAACCTCAAGTCTAAACGTGCAAAGGCGTCCACTGATTTGATGACTGGTTATAAGAGCTTAGCAGTTCAACATAGTTTCATACCTGTGAACCATCAGAATTACTAATTTTTAATCTGTTGGGACCCCGTATTTCCATTATTACTATAAATCTTGAAGAATGAAATGGTTTCTTCAATCGGTCATACATGTTCTATCATACTACATAGCTTCCAGTCTATTCCCATGATGTAAACAAAATCAAGCACCCCCTCCTTTTCAAACATATTTTGTTTTAGAGTTGGGCAGAACATGTCTATTATTGCTCATCTCTTCCTCACAAGGTCATGAAATAACCTATTTTTCCTCCCCAAAGCAAAGCATGCAAGCACAAGAGTTAATTAGCTCTCCTTTTTGTGATATTGATTAAGGGGCACAAAATGAGCAAGGGTCTTTGCATTTGACTTGACAAGTGTGAAGGGTAAGGAAGCTAGCCGAGCCTAGTAGGATCTGCTTAGGTAGCTAGAACGTAGGGTCCCTGACAGGTAAGTTACGGGAGCTAATTGATACAGCGGTGAGGAGAGGTGTTGATATCCTTTGCATCCAAGAAACCAAATGAAGGGGACAAAAGGCGAAGGAGGTGGAGGATACCGGCTTAAGCTGTGGTACACGGGGACAAATACAAACAGAAATGGAGTAATCATCTTGATCAACAAGAGCCTCAAGTATGGAGTGGTAGACATCAAGACGCAAGGAGACCGGATTATCCTGGTCAAGCTGGTAGCTGGGGACTTAGTTCTCAATGTTATCAGCACGTATGCCCCGCAAATAGGCCACAATGGGAACACCAAGAGGGAGTTTTGGGAAGGCCTCGAGGATATGGTTAGGAGCGTAACTATTGGCGAGAAGCTCTTCATAGGAGGAGACCTCAATGGCCACATGGGTACATCTAACACAGGTTTTGAAGGGGTACATGGGGGCTTTGGCTATGGCATCAGGAATCAAGGAGAAGATGTCTTAAGTTTCGCTCGAACCTACGACATGATCGTAGCTAACACCCACTTTAAAAAGAGTCGCATCTAGTGACTTTTAGTAGTGGTCAACACTCTAGCCAGATTGATTTTGTCCTCTAGAGAAGAGAAGACAGGCGTGCTTGCCTAGATTGTAAGGCGATACCTGGAGAGAGTGTTGTCCCTCAACATAAGCTTGTGGTGGCTGACTTCCACATTCGGATCCGTGTCCAGCAGGATAAGCGCACCAAAGTCGCTAGTATGAAGTGGGGGAGGCTCAAGGGGAAGGGGCAGCTTAGGCTTTCAAGGAGAGGGCCATTAAGGAGGGCCCTTGGGAGGAGGGAGTGATGCAAACAATATGTGGATGAAGATGGCGACTTGCATTCGTAAGGTGGCTTCGGAGGAGTTTGGAGTGACCACGATAAGTAGAAGCGAAGCTAAAGATACCTGATGATGGAACGATGATGTCCAGAAGGCTATTAAGGAGAAGAAAGACTGTTTCAGTTGCCTACACCTAGATGGGAGTGTAGACAACATAGAAAGGTACAAGGTGGCAAAGAAAGCTGCAAAGCGAGCTGTGAGTAAAGTAAGGGGTCAGGCGTATGAGGACCTCTACTAACGCTTAGACGCGAAGGAAGGCGAAAGGGACATCTATAAGATGGCCAAGATCTGAGAGAGGAAGATGAGGGATGTCAACCAAGTCAAATGCATCAAGGACAGAGCAGATCAACTCCTTGTGAAGGACGAGGAGATTAAGCACAGATGGCAGGAGTACTTCGACAAGCTGTTCAATAGAGAGAATGGAAGCTATACTATTGAGCTGGACGACTACTTTGATGATACCAGCAGGCGTTTTGTGCGACGAACCCAGGGTCTGAGGTCAGGGAGGCTTTAAAAAGGATGAAAGGAGGCAAGGCGATAGACCCTGATTGTATCCCCATTGAGGTGTGGAGAGGCCTCAGAGACATAGCGATGGTATGGCTAACTAAGCTATTTAACCTCATTTTTTGGGCAAACAAGATGCCGGAAGAATCGAGGCTGAGTGTTGGCCGACTAAAAGGCGGCATGTTCAACAGTTAGGTGTAGCGGAGATGCGCATGTTGAGATGGATGTGTGGCCACACAAGGAAGGATTGGGTCTGGTATGATGATATATGCGAGAGAGTTGGGGTAGCACCAATTGAAGAGAAGCTTGTCCAACATCGGCTGAGATGGTTTGGACATATACAACGCAATGCATAGGGGACGGTTAAAGCGTGCTGATAATGTCAAGAGAGGTCGGGGTAGATCAAACTTGACATGGGAGGAGTCCGTAAAGAGAGATCTGAAGGACTGGAATATCAACAA